TCCTCGGCTTATACTCAAGTCAATACGTTTTCCCAGTTTTTTGTGATAAAATTAGGTGCCTCGGCTTATATTACGGTCGGCTTATACGCGAGTATATACGGTAGTTTCCTATTTGTTCCTGAGTCCAATTCAAGGTGCTGGTCTTATCCATGAAGCCTTAAAGGGGTCTGACAAAAAGCCTAAGTCCATCATCTCAGGGCTTATTGTATGGGCCATCTCTTAGGCCCCTTTTACATTGAAGTAGATAATCCGCATTATCTTCTTTGAACTGGATTATCTGAGTCTACACTACCTTATAATCTAAAAGCAGATAATCTGGATTTAATATGGCAATGTAGAAGGGGCCTTAGAGAGTGCTGCTTAAAGTCATGGTCCATGGACCACTGCCGGTCCCTAAGCCACTGGCTGTCAATGCCTAGCAAATTTCTAGGGAAAAAATACCCAATGGGCACAAAAATGGTATCAGTTCCTCACATGCTAGGAAGAATAATTGCCAGTCCCTGCACCAGATAGTCTGGAGTGTAAAACATGTTTTATGCATTGTCAGAGGCTTTCATGGCCGGAATCACTGGGTTGTTGTAGGTTTTTTCGGGCTATATGGCCATGTTCTAGAGGCATTCTCTCCTGACGTTTTGCCTGCATCTATGGCTCACTACCTCTGAGGATGCTTGCCAACAACCCAAAACATGTTTTATTTCTTTGTTAATTGTATGTTTTAATGTTTTTAATGTAAATCACTTCAAGCACACAATGATCTGACAATGATTTTTTAAAAACCAAATGAGTTTCACATCTCGTCCTCTATAAGCCCAATACTTATAAAAGAGTCAAAGAACTATTGTCTGCTTGAATTCTGGGCATCGCCCGAGTTTCTTCTTCAGTCAGCTTTCCTGCATGCTTCAGCAAAGACTACAAAGAAATAAATGCATGATACATTAAGAAACATAATGATCCCTGATCACTGGGGATGTTTCTCACAATCCCGTTTTCAAAAGAAGACAGCTTTCAGAACTAGAGGAAGGGTCGGAAAAAACGAATGTGGAGTTTTGCTGTTTTGCTGTTTCTGTTTTGCTAGAAAGAGAAGCATTATCTGATCATTCAGTTTATGTCCAACCCATCCAAAGATATCATGAAAAATACTGTGTGTCCTGTAATGTGTAGTGTAAAATTAAGGCAACGTAACAACTATTTATCAATTATATCCATTTCTTGAGCACCTAAATCCAATACTGGATGGACTGGATGGAAATTTGTGCAAAATGAGGAATGGAGATATATGAGGGGTATTTTTAAGTAAGGTCCGTTTTGTTGTAGACACTAGTAGTTCGCGCGCATATGGCAACGAGCACGTGCATCGTGTACCGGCATGCCTCGGGAACAACTGTGCTTAGTTTCCGCTCTGTTGCTAACCTGTACGGTTCTGTTCTGTGCTTTAAAAATGTTTAAGACTATCAACTCACCCTCCGCATGTGAGGTTCGCTCAGTGATACGGTTTTTGTCAGCAAGGAACCTGCCTGCTGCAGAAATTCATCGACAGATTTGTGAAGTGTACGGTGATACTGTTATGAGTGAAAGCAAAGTGCGTAAGTGGGTACGACAATTCAAAGATGGCCGTGACAACGTCCATGATGAGGACCGCTCCGGTCGCCCTTCTTTGATTACAGACGATTTGGTGGCTTCAGTTAAAGTGAGGATTTATGAAGAGGGTATTTTAAAATTGGTTCAGAGGTATGGTAAGTGTCTGAACAAACTTGGCAACTATGTCAAAGAATAGAGTGAAGTATGTACTTTCTGAAAATAAATTTACTTTTTTGAAATAAACTTTCGTTGCGTACTTATGTTCCAACGGACCTTACTTAAAAAATACCCCTTGTATATTCCCAGTTTAAACAAAGCACTTTTAAACTGTGATTTACAGAAGACGAGTGGGGCCCCTTCCACACAGCTGAATAAAATCCCACATCTTCTGCTTTGAACTGGAATATATGGCTGTTTGGACCCAGATAACCCAGTTCAAAGCTGATATTGTGGGATATTCTATCTTGATATTCTGGGTTATATGGATATGTGGAAGGGCCCTCGGAGACAGAAAGGTACGAGTAAAACACCAGCAGTTGAGAGATGTTTGTATTTAGCAACATCATGCAGTATTTAGCAAAAAGATGGGGAAAGCATGGATGCCCAAAAAGCATCTGGACATTTTCTCTAGTCCCCTAATTCTGCCCCATTGAAAAAGAATTCAGGCAAAATCTTGTGATCTCCAGGAGAAGAGACTTCACATTAAAAAAGACAAATCCCCTATTTCAGTGGTTCTCAACCTGGGGTCCCCAGATGTTTATGGCCTTCAACTCCCAGAAATCCTAGCAGCTGGTAAACTGGCTGGGATTTCTGGGAGTTGTAGGCCCAAAACATCTGGGGACCCCAGGTTGAGAACCACTGCCCTATTTGACACTTTGTTTTTTTCCTTGAAATTTCAAAGAACAGAATCATAAGTAGATATTATTTTGGAGGGACTGTGGTTGTGGTGGTGGTTGGTTGGGTGGGGGACTGGAATAATCCACATTGGAAACCATAAGGATCTGGCATCAGAAAACTGGTTCCCACATGCCTAGAAGATCCTCTCTCCTGCTTCGAGGTATCTATGGCCTGTGGTCAAAGCATTTGTTTATTTCAGATGGGGGGGGGGTCTACTTGTAATCTGCTTATATTTGTAAACAAGTAGCCCCGGTGGTGTGGGTTAAACCTTCTGCTGGCAGGACTGAAGACCAACAAGTAACAGGTTCAAATCCGGGGAGAGCACGGAAGAGTTCCCTCTGTCAGCTCCAGCTCCCCATGCGGGGTCATGAGAGAAGCCTCCCACAAGGATGGTAAAACATCAAAACATCCAGGCATCCCCCTGGGCAACGTCCTTGCAGATGGCCAATTCTCTCATACCAGAAGCGACTTGCAGTTTCTCAAGTCACTCCCGACACGGAAAAAAAATCTGTAAACAGAGCAGATTACAAAGCCGTTGTGTGAAAGCAAAACTGTGTTGTTGCTCTAAATGTTTTGAAGGGAGTGGATACTTTATTCTTTTCATCATGCTCATGTCAATCATAAATCAATAATGGTTAGTGATGTGAGGAAGCCAAGCAGGGAATACTGGAACAATTTCACTATAATGTAATGCAGAAGCATACCATTTTATATCCCAAGAACTATGTGAAAGCAGCACAGACTAGAAAATATGATCTATCCCTAAGGCCAAAAGACAGATAAATTATCAAGAAACAGAGAAGCACTTTTCAGTGTTTTCTTACCAAGAGGTGGTCCGTGAGTTATTAGAATATCTATTCCATCTGGAATTAGGTTCCATTTCTCTAAGAGTGCTTGACCTCGTGGAAGATTAAAGCCCCAGCCATAAAACCAAGGTTGCCTGCCAAAAAAGGGAGAGATTGTCTTCAGTGCTTGGGTTAGCCAGCTAAGACCAAACACCTGGGAATGGTTTCTATACAATTTTGTACTACAGAGACATACATACACTCCCCTCAGAACAGTTGTGCTGCTGGTTAACTTAAGATTTTGCTTTAGCTGTCAATGAGTGTGTGAGTGTTAAGTTTTGTGTGCAACTTCAGCTATGAAGTCTTCCTTTGTTATCTGCCAAACCACTATTTCACGCTTTACAACTGCTTCTGTATTCATGATATGCCAGAGTGAAATTTTAAAAAAACTAGACAAGTCTAACAAAAAAGAAATATTGTTGTGGATGATCAGCAACAGTCCAGTGCATCCAGATATGTCTACACCACACTGCAGGGCTGATATCTATCAGGGGACAGTCACACCACACAATTATAGCACTTCGGAATGCCATAGTTCCATCCTATAGAATCAACCTGGGGGTCGAGACCCCTGGAGGGGTCACAAAGGGGTGTCAGAGGGGTCACGAAAGACAATCAGAAAACTCAACATTTTCTGTTGATTATGGGGTTCTGTGTGGGAAGTTTGGCCCAATTCTATCATTGGTACGGTTCAGAAGGTGTTTTAATTGTAGGTAAACTATACATCTCAGCAACTACAACTCCCAAATGTCAAGGTCTATTTTCCCCAAACTCCACCAACAACTACCAAAAATGTGTAGTTCACATTTGGGCATACTGAGTATTTGTGCCATGTTTGGTCCAGATACATCATTGTTTAAGTCACAGTGCTCTCTGGATATAGGTGAACTACAGCTCCCAAACTCAAGGTCAATGCCCACCAAACCCTTCCAATATTTCTTTTTTGGTCATGAGAGGTATGTGTGCCAAATCTGGTTCAATTGCATCATTGGTGGAGTTCAGAATGCTCTTTTAATTTAAATGAACCATAAATCCCAGCAACTACAACTCCCAAATGACAAAATCAATCCCCCCAACCCCCACCAATATTCTGATTTGGGTGTATGGGGTATTTGTGCCAAATTTGGTCCAGTGAATGAAAATACATCCTACATATCAGATATTTACATTATTATTAATAACATTAGCAAAATTACAGTTATGAAGTCACAACAAAAATAATGTTGTGGTTTGGGATCATCACAACATGAGGAACTGCATTAAGGGGTCACAGCATTAGGAAGGTTGAGAACCACTGCTATAGATGTTTATAGTTTGATGAAGCACCTCAGCTCTCTGGCTGAGAATTCTAAGTGTCCTTCCCGAAACTTCCAGTTCCAGGAATCCTCAAAATGGAACTACAGTGGTCAAAGTGGAAACACAGTTGTGTAGTGTGAAAAGATCCATGGTTGAGGACTGGAGCTTCACATTGATTGTGCTGTGCGGCGCTGACGCTGAGTGGCCAAATCGCACAACTGAATGCACACCCAAACATTCAGTAAATTCACAAAGCAATCCCATGCCCATTACATGGAAATATGTGTCACATTAAGGGTGGAAACAATATTTGAATGCTTGAATGAGGCATCTGAGTGTCCAAAAACATCAATAAGGTGAATCTCCTCAAGCCCCCTTTTCTTCTCCCCCTCAAATAGATTTTTCTCCTTATAACCCATGTCATGTTGGAGAGTGAGGAGAGAGCCATAGATCTGGAAGGCTACACCAGTAAATGTGAAGAGGAAAGGCAGCTCCCGTGTTCATGGCTGTCTGCCCCTGCTAACATTGCTGAGGCCAGAGGAAAGGCAACTGAGGATCTCCCTTTCCCCTCTCCTGATGTTAACTCCTTGTAAAACCTCTTCAGAAATGGTGTAGAGATAGTGACAGATTATAATGTTATTGTTTTAAGTTGATGCATGTTTTAACTATGTTTTTATTGTTGTTAACAAATTTTAACTGTTGGAATATACAGCCCTATACGGTTCTGGTCCAGCTTACTTGTCAGCACATATCTCCCCCTATGTCCCACCTCGAAACTTACAATCTTCCGAGGAGGCCCTGCTCTCGATCCCACCTTCGTAGCAAACACGCTTGTTGGGGACGAGGGACAGGGCCTTCTCGGCGGTGGCCCCCCGCCTGTGGAACTCACTCCCCTGCTAAATTAGGTCACCAACCAGTGCGCTCCTTTTGCCAACCCAAAATATTTAATAACGAAGTTATTAATAACGAAGTTTTTAATAACGAAGTTTCGGAAGTCGCTTTTGCGCATGCGCAATCGCGTCCGCCGTTTTAACGAATCGATTCGTTATAACCTTAACGAATCGACCCCGTGCCAATAACGAAGCTTCGGAAGTGATTTTGCGCATGCGCGGGGGTCCGCCATCTTAACGAATCAATTCGTTAATATTTACGAAATTTCGTAAATACCGAAACTTTTTTGGGGGAAAAATTTGTAATTATTTTAAATATCGAAACAAAAAAACACCCCAATTACAAATCGATTTTAGAACCAAATTTTTTCTTGATCAACCAGGCCTAAATGGGAGTCCACTAACTCCATGTTCCGAGTAGTCTTCCTTTTTACGGGAAAGCGGGTTTAGATATCGTAGGACATAGGGGTACTGTAGCTCGATAACAATGGGAATCCACTACCTCCATGTTCCGAGTAGTCCTCCTTTTTACGGGAAAGCGGGTTTAGATATCCTAGGACATAGGGGTACTGTGGCTCGATAACAATGGGAATCCACCACCTCCATGTTCCGAGTAGTCCTCCTTTTTACGGGAAAGCGGGTTTAGATATCGTAGGACATAGGGGTACTGTGGCTCGATAACAATGGGAGTCCACTAACTCCATGTTCCAAGTAGTCTTCCTTTTTACGGGAAAGCGGGTTTAGATATCGTAGGACATAGGGGTTCTGTGGCTCGATAACAGTGGGAATCCACTACCTCCATGTTCCGAGTAGTCCTCCTTTTTACGGGAAAGCGGGTTTAGATATCGTAGGACATAGGGGTACTGTGGCTCGATAACAATGGGAGTCCACTAGTAGTGTTCCGAGTAGTCTTCCTTTTTACGGGAAAGCGGGTTTAGATATCGTAGGACATAGGGGTACTGTGGCTCGATAACAATGGGAGTCCACTAACTCCATGTTCCAAGTAGTCTTCCTTTTTACGGGAAAGCGGGTTTAGATATCGTAGGACATAGGGGTGCTGTGGCTCGATAACAGTGGGAATCCACTACCTCCATGTTCCGAGTAGTCCTCCTTTTTACGGGAAAGCGGGTTTAGATATCGTAGGACATAGGGGTACTGTGGCTCGATAACAATTGGAGTCCACTAACTCCATGTTCCAAGAAGTCTTCCTTTTTACGGGAAAGCGGGTTTAGATATCGTAGGACATAGGGGTACTGTGGCTCGATAACAATGGGAGTCCACTAACTCCATGTTCCAAGTAGTCTTCCTTTTTACGGGAAAGCGGGTTTAGATATCGTAGGACATAGAGGTGCTGTGGCTCGATAACAATGGGAATCCACTACCTCCATGTTCCGAGTAGTCCTCCTTTTTACGGGAAAGTGGGTTTAGATATCGTAGGACATAGGGGTACTGTAGCTCGATAACAATGGGAATCCACTACCGAGTAGTGGATTCCGAGTAGTCCGAGTAGTGTTCCGAGTAGTCTTCCTTTTTACGGGAAAGCGGGTTTAGATATCGTAGGACATAGGGGTACTGTGGCTCGATAAGAATGGGAATCCTCTACCTCCATGTTTCGAGTAGCCCACCTTTTTATGGGAAAGCAGCTTTGGAGATACTAGGACACGGATTCCACACCATGGAAACCAGGCTCTCTTTTCTCACCCACAGAACCCTCCTGGCAGCCATCAGCCCCTACTTTCAGGATATTTTCATCAACAACTGGAAAGAGTCGGATGGAAAAGAGGTACTGCTTCAGGACGTGACCCCGTCTGTCGTCCAAAGCATCCTGAGATACATCTACACCGAAGAATTGGTGCTCACTCCTGAGCTGGCCCCTTTCCTATTCGCAGGAGCTAGTAAACTGCAGATTCCCCCCTTGCAGAACCTCTGCTGCAGGTAAGCCTTCCATGGCATTCGTTCACTGAGGTTGGACATGCACTGGATGGAGCGTATTTGGATTTCAAGATGGCCTTCAACAAGGTCCCCCATGACCTTCTGGCAATCAATGTGGACTAGGTATAACTACAGTTAGGTGGGTCTAGAATTGGTTAAGCGAATGAACCAAGAGGGTGATAAATAGGAGTATAGTGTCTAGATCCAGGGAGGTCATGCTAGCCCTCTAATCTGCCTTGGTCAGACCCAGAGGCGGCCCTAGGTAATTTTCAACGGTAAGCAAACAGTATTTTGCCCCCCCCCCCCCCCAACCAATCATTGATATATATACTTTCTGTTCGTCGTGGGAGTGCTGTGTGCCATATTTGGTTCAATTCCATCATTGGTGGAGTTCAGAATGCTCTTTGATTTTAGGTGAACTATACATCCCAGTAAGATGCAAGATGGAGATGGTTTGGTCAATGATTTTCAGGCAGACAATGACAGAGAGGCCTCAGTGCAAAGGGCAGTTTCTCATGAGAATATCCCTGCTGGGCCTAGCAATGATGGTTCACTCCCTCTCTCTGTGATCTCTTAAGATTTGGGTTTGGAAAACAATCTGACCCCTTACTACAGTTTCTCATGTTGTGGGGATGTTGTGTATATTTTTTCCCCGTTGCTATGTCATAACTAATTTTGCTACTATTATGAATTGTAATGTAAACAGAGGCGGCCCTAGGTAATTTTCAATGCTAAGCAAACAGCATTTCCCTCCCCCCCCCCCCAACCAATTCTGTTTGTCGTAGGAGTTCTGTGTGCCATATTTGGTTCAATTCCATCATTGGTGGAGTTCAGAATGCTCTTTGATTGTAGGTGAACTATACATCCCAGTAACTACACTTGCCGCACTTGCTCCCTTGCCTGGCCCGCGTTGGGTCCGGAGGCGTGCCTGAAGACCCCGTGTGCACCAAAAGTCACCTCTTCTCCTGACTTTCTCCTCAGCCATTGGGACCAAGAGAGAGAGAGAGAGAGAGAGAGGTGGAGATGCCCACCTTTCCTGAAGGTAGGTGCAAAAACAAAGGAGGGAGCGGAGGTGGGAGATACCTCCAGCCGGAGGGGCTCTCTCTCTCTCTCTCTCTCTCTTGGTCCCAATGGCTGAAGAGAAAGTCAGGAGAAGAGGCAACTTTTGTGTGCACGCTGGGGTCTTCAGACATGCCTCCGGACCCGAAGCGGGCCAGACATGGCGGCTCCGCCCCTTGGCCCACCCCGATTGGGGAGAGGAGAGGAAGTGGGTGGAGCGCCGGGGGATTAGAAAAGGGAGCTGGTCATGGAGAAGGGATCGAACGCGGAGAACGATTGAGCGCCGGCTCTGCTCGTGCACCCGGTGGCCGGGTGGAGCAGGAACGAGAGGGGCTAGGCGAGACTCAAGGGCCCGGCCCCTTTGGGAAGAGGATCGCCCGGCAGCGAGGCAAGAAAGCCGAGGCTCCCCCCGGACTGCTAGGGCTGTTGTGAGCTGAGGGGGCGCTCCTCAAGTGGCGGTCAAGGGGCATTTACAGAGGCGCCTCTGCACCCCTGGCAAAAAAAAGTGTTCTGCGACCGCTTACTTCGCGTAATGGATGAGCCGCCCCTGATTATTATTATTATTGACATTGAAGTCGATTGGAACTTTAGGAGGGTCTTCACAAGGAGAGCAGAGGAGGGCGACCAAATGATCAAGGGTCTGGAGAACAAGCCCTATGAGGGTGGCTTAAAGAGCTGGGCAAGTTTAGCCTGAAGAAGAGAAGGCTGAGAGGAGACATGATGAGAGCCATGTATAAATATGTGAGAGGAAGTCATAGGGAGGAGGAGCAAGCTTGTTTTCTGCTTCCCTGGAGACTAGGACGCAATGGAACAATGGTTTCAAACTACAAGAAAGGAGATTCCACCTGAACATTAGGAAGAACTTCCTAACTGTGAGGGCTGTTCAGCAGTGGAACTCTCTACCCCAGTGGTTCTCAACCTTCCTATTGCCACGACCCCTTAATAGAGTTCCTCCTGTTGTGGTGACCCCCCCCAACCATAAAATCATTTTCATTGCTACTTCATAACTGTCATTTTGCTACTGATATCAATTGTAATGTAAATATCTGATGTATTTTCATTTACTGGACCTAATTTGGCACAAAAAATCAATACACTCAAGTCTGAATACTTGTGGGGTTTGGGGGGAGGATTGATTTTGTCATTGGGGAGTTGTAGTTGCTGGGATTTATAGTTCACTACAATCAAAGAGCCTTCTGAACTCCACCAATGATGGAATTGAACCAAACTTGGCACACAGAACTCCCGTGACCAAGAGAAAACACTTTGGTGGGACCTTGAGTTTGGGAGTTGTAGTTCACCTACATCCACGTAGGGCACTGTGGACTTAAACAATGATGGATCTGAACCAAACTTGGCATGGATACTCAATATGCCGAAATGTGAACAGTGGTGGAGTTTGGGGAAGATAGACATTGACACTTGTGAGTTGTAGTTACTGGGATGTATAGTTGACCTACAATCAAAGAGCATTCTGAACCCCACCAGTGACAGAACTGGGCCAAACTTCCTACACAGAAACCGCATGACCTACAGAAAATACTGTGTTTTCTAATGGTCTTTGGCGACCCCACTGACACCCCCTCGCGACCCCTCAAGGGGTCCCGACCCCCAGGTTGAGAAACACTGCTCTACCCCGAAGTGTGGTAGAGAACTCTTGTCTGCTGGAGCTAGCTGTGAATGTTTCAACTGACCACCTTGATTAGCATTTGATGGCCTGGCAGTGCCTGGAGCAAACCCCCACCCACTCCCCAGGCGAATACCACACGGTCCTCAACCCCCCCCACAAAGACATTCCCAAAACCGCCACAGGACAAACATCACAACCACAAACTCGACCCCACCACTAAACACCACGCCACCCTAACCGGAAAAAGAACTCTTGGCTGGAGCTAGCTGTGAATGTTTCAACTGACCACCTTGATTAGCATTTGATGGCCTGGCAGTTGTTTGGTGTGGCTTGTTAGTGCCTGGGGGAATCTTTTGTTGAGAGGCGATTAGCTGTCCCTGCTTGTTAAGATGGTCCGCCCTAGGAGACTGATGGATCCGATGTCTTCCTGAGGAATCTTGGGGTTCTTCCTGCCATGGAGCCTGGCGATCCTGTCGACGCCTTGGTCAATCTCTATAACAGGGAGATGTCCAGGGCGATAGATACGATCGCTCCCGAACGCCCCATCTCGTTGCGTCGAGACAGGCCATCTCCCTGGTTCACCGAGGAGTTGGTTGTGATGAAACACACGAGAAGGGGGCTAGAGCACAAATGGAGGAAATCTCGAGACGTGTCTGATCAAGCACAGGCTAAAGCCTCTCTTAAGGCGTATACCGTGGCTATTAGGCTTGGGCGATCAAGAAAAAAATTGGTTCTAAACTCGTTTCGTTTCTAGGGTGCGCTAGCGTTTCGAAATTCTGAGGACTTCTGAAATTTAAGATTTCAAAATTTCGAAATTTCGTAAATTACGAATCGATTCGTTAATGGCGGACGCGATTGCGCAATATGCTAAAAAAAACCTCCAAACGGGACAGGGGGAACTTCTGAAGCTTCCCTCTCCCTTTGTTGTTGACTGTTGGTGTGATAAAACAAACAACAACTATATTGTATTATATTATATTATATTATATTATATTATATTATATTATATTATATTATTATTATATTATTATATTATTATATTATATTGTTGTATATTGTTTTGTAAATGGGGCGGGCGGGGCGAAGGGGCGGCGATCGGCTCCGGCTCCTGCGCCCTCCTCCTCCTCCTCCTCCTCCCAGCTGTGTTGCAGGAAGTGCCAGGAGGAGGAGGAGGAGGAGGAGGGCGCAGGAGCCGGAGCCGATTGGATGGCGCGCGCGCTCACCCTTACAACCGGCCTCCGCGCACCATCCGATCGCCATGCAACACAGCTGGGAGGAGGAGGAGGAGGAGGAGGGCGCAGGAGCCGGAGCGCAGGAGCCGGGGAGGGGATTCCTGCAGCGCCGGCTCTGCCTCCGTGGCCCGCCTGAGAATTGAAGGCTGCATCCAGGCTTGCTGTGAGTTTTCCAGGCTGTATGGCCATGTTCCAGAAGCATTCTCTCCTGACACTTTGCCCACATCTATGGCAGGCATCCTCAGAGGTGCTGTTGGAAACTAGGCAAGTGGAGTTTATCTATGGAATGTCCAGGGTGGGAGAAAGAACTCTTGTCATGCTTGAATCAAGGTGACCACTGCAACATTCACACTTACAAACTGTTTTGTAAATATTTACGAAATTTCGTAAATAACAAAACATTTTTTTGGAAAGTTTTGTAAATATTTTAAATATCGAAACAAAAAAACACCCCAATTACAAATCGATTTTAGAAACAAATTTTTTCTTGATCAAACAGGCCTATATAATATTATTATAATATTATTATATTATATATTATTATTATATTATTATTATATTATTATATTATATTTGTATATTATATTTATATTATATATATATTATTATATTATATTATATTATTATAATTATTATATATATTATATTATTATAATATTATTATATTATATATTATTATAATATATATATTATATTATATTTATTATATATATTATAATATTATTATATTATATTATTATATATTATTATATATTATATATTATATTATATTATATTATATTTTTATATATATATATTATTATATTATATTATTGTATATTATATATTATATTATATTATTATATTATTATTATATTATATTTATATTATATTATAATATTTATATTATATTTATATTATATTATATTTATATTATATTATATATTATATTAATATTATTATAATATTATTATATTATATATTATTATAATATATATTATATTATTATTTATATTATATAATATATTAATTAATTATTTATATTATTATTATATTATATTATATATATATTTATATATATTATTATATATATATTATTATTAATTATTATATTATTATATTATTATATTATATTGTTGTATATTATATTATAATATTATTATATTATATTATTTATATTATATTATATTATTATATATTATATAATATTATTATAATATTATTGTATTATATATTATTATTATAATATATATATTATATTATTATATTATATTGTTGTATATTATATTATAATATTATCATATTATATTATTGCATATTATATTATATTATATTATTATATATTATATAATATTATTATAATATGATTATATTATTATTATTATAATATATATATTATATATATTATATTATATATATTATAATAATATTATATATATATTATATTATATTATATTATTTATATATATTATATATTATATTATATTATATTATATTATATTATAATAGTAAAAGGTAGTCCCCTGACATTAAGTCCAGTCATGTCTGACTCGGGTGTGGTGCTCATCTCCATTTCTAAGCCGAAGAGCCAGCGTTGTCCGTAGACACCTCCAAGGTCATGTGGCCGGCATGACTGCATGGAGCGCCGTTACCTTCCCGCCGGAGCGGTACCTATTGATCTACTCACATTTGCATGTTTTCAAACTGCTAGGTTGGCAGAAGCTAGGGCTGACAGCGGAAGCTCACGCCGCTCCCCGGAATCGAGCCTGCGACCTTTCGATCATCCCTATATTATAATATATTATATTATAATATATTATATATATTATATTATATTATATTATATTATATTATATTATATTATATTATAATATACAATTATAATATAATATAATATAATAATAATATAGTAATATAATATATAATATAATAATATAATATAAAATAATAATTATATTATAATATACAATTATAATATAATATAATAATAATATAGTAATATAATATAATCATATAATATAATATACAATACAATGCACCAGACATACGAAAATAATTACGAAATAATTACGAAAATTGGAAAAAATTGTTTCGATTCTTAATTACTCCTCACACTATTCCTGCATGGCTCGATATTGGATCGTAAGCTAATTTAAATACGAATCAATAACGAATAACGAAATTAACGAACTGGATCGCCCAAGCCTAGTGTGCAGTGTGCGGCAGTCTTAGTTCTACTAAAGTGCTTCTGGGACTTGGTATTGGAGGTTTCCTAATCTGGGAAGGCACATCGGAACAGCCAGGTCTTCAAGTTCTTTCTGAAGACTGCCAATGTAGGGGCCTGTCTAAGGTCTTTGGGGAGGGTGTTCCAGAGTCTGGGGGCCACCACAGAAAAGGCTCTGTCTCGTGTCCCCACCAAACGTGCTTGCGACGCAGGCGGGATCACGAGCAGGGCCTCTCCAGATGAACGTAGTGAATGCGTGGGTTCATAGACAGAGATGCGGTCACGCAGGTAGGCTGGTCCCGAACCGTTCAGGGCTTTGTAGGTAAGCACCTGCACCTTAAATTGGGCTCGGAAGATAAACGGCAGCCAGTGGAGCTCCTTAAACAGGAGGGTTGACCTCTCTCTGTAATGAGCCCTGGTTAACATCCTGGCTGCTGCCCGTTTGACCAATTGCAGTTTCCGAGCCGTTTTCAAGGGCAGCCCCACGTAGAGCGCATTGCAGTAATCCAGTCTGGAGGTGACTAAGGCGTGGACCACCCCGGCCAGATCAGCCTTAGCGAGGTACGGGCTCAGCTGGCTTGTGCAAAAGCCCTCCCGGCCACCGCCGACGCCTGAGCCTCAAGCGAGAGCGATGAATCCAGGAGGACTCCCAAGCTGCGGACCTGTGGCTTCAGCCCTGTGGCTTCCAACCCTGTCCAACACAGGTAGCCACCCTATACCCCGATCCGGTTTGCGATCGACCAGGAGGACCTCTGTCTTGTCGGGATTGATCTTCAGCTTGTTCCTCCTCATCCAGATAGACACAGCGGCCAGGCACTCATCTAGCACCCGAGAGGCCTCCTTGGAATTAGGTCGAAATGAGTAGTAGAGTTGTGTGTCATCTGCATAGAGATGGCACCCAACTCCGAAACTCCGGATGACCTCTCCCAGCGGTTTCATGTAGATGTTAAAAAGCATGGGAGATAGAATAGAGCCTTGCGGGACCCCACAGGTCAACGGCCAGGGGTCTGAGCAGGCGTCTCCCAGCTTCACCATCTGGGTTCGTCCCTCCAGGAAGGACCGGAGCCACGACAGAACCGTGCCCCCGAGACCCATCCCAGAGAGGCGACTCAGAAGGATACCATGATCAATGGTATCGAAAGCTGCTGAGATGTCCAAGAGAACCAGCAGGGTCACACTCCCCCTGTCCTGTCCTGTATGGGTTGACCATACAGGAAACTGTAAGCAACAGAAGTCTTGAAGAAGGTGGTCATTTCTAACCAGATACCTCTCCTCTCTTCCAGGTTCCTCATCACACACATCTCTGTGCAGAACTGCTTCGAGGTGTACTCCTTGGCCTGCGCCCATAAGAACGACGACCTGCTTCGGGCCACCGTACAGTTCCTCATCCGGAATTTCAACCAGGTTTTTGAGGAAGAGGGTTTCCTCCAGCTGGAATTGGCCACGTTGGTCGCCCTGATTTCCTCCGATGACTTGGTGGCCACTTCGGAGCTCCAGGTCTACCGGGCCGTGCGGCGGTGGGTACAGGGACAACCTCGTGCGCGGGGCCCGCTGCTCAGCGAACTCATCAACCACGTGCGCTTCCCGCTCCTGAACCCCACTGAACAAGACGAGCTCCAGAAGGACTTGGAGGTTCAGAAGGACCTCGAACTGGAGTGGAAAGTCCTGGATGGCGAGGAGAGGCTGTGTCAGAGCAAGGGGCTGCGGAGGGGAATGTACAAGCCGTACGTTGCTTGCGTCGACACCCAGCTGTGCGATTTCCAGAGCTTGGAGGCAGACGAGGCGCACATGGCGTGCTACGACCCTTCAGCTGAACTGTGGGAGAGACTCCCTGGCCTGCAGTCCTTGACACACGCTTGCTGCACCTCTGCCGGGGACACGATTTACGTCTCGGGAGGCGTATACCGCAGCTCTTATTCCTCCGCCGTACATGAGTTCAGCTCCTTCCGAAGCCAGTGGTATCCGCTCCCTCCAATGACTACGGCAAGACTGGGGCATGGCTTCCTCTGCCACAACAAAAAGCTCTACGTCATCGGCGGCTGGCGCAAGTACCACAGCTTTCTCAACACTGCAGAGAGCCTGGACTTAGCCACGGGAAAGTGGGCCGCGATCGCAAGACTTCCCTTTCCCCTGAGCCACCCGGCTTCGAGCGTCTTCCGAGACAAGTTGTACCTGCTGGGCGGTGCACGGGACCTCACGTCCGGGTGGTTGTTCCACCGAGGGATCCTGATCTACACAATCAGCTCCAATACGTGGACTCAGGTATCTCTCTCGACTGGTTTCCTCGCCGCAGGAGCCGTGGCCGGAGACCACGGGATCTATGTGATCGGGGGATACTCGGAGAAAAAGAACTGGGTGGAAGAGAACCAGGTGGAGAACCGCCGCAGCAGCCGCCGGTGCTTCTTTGTCAACGAAGCGGGCCATGTGAGCCGTAGCTTCACCATCCCCAAATTACCACGTGGGATCGCCAACGCAGGGGTTGTCTTCTGTGGCAAAAGGATCTACGTGATCGGCGGGGAGGATTTGAACCAACGCTACAAGGCCGTTTACCGCTGGGAACCCGGTGAACCCCGCTGGCATCGGGGTGCGAAGGAAATCCCGGTTCCCCGGGAGGGTATTAGCTCATTTGGATGTGCGCTCCTTTTGAGGCCCAAGCCACGCTTTGCGCAGCTTTTCCAAGTCTCCGCTCGCGTTCCGGTAGCAGCTGCCCGCAAGTAGCTGCTAAACCCAAGCAGCCCTGCATTGCCTTTTAAGTATATGGAACTCAGATGGGCACATGTAAATATATTATAATAAATTTGCAATCAGTGGCCACCGATCTCTTGTGAGATGGAGCCTACCAACCCGGGTGCGCAGTCTTCACAAACACCTAACAATTACTGAGATAAGACGATATGACTGTGGTCAATATGATGCCACGCTGCAATAGCGCTCTTCCCAGAAATTGAAATGATCAGATAAGACTGCGTTTAATATCACATTATGGTGAAATAGCAATATTGCTAGCAATTGAAATAAACAGGTAAGACTGTGGTTAATATGATACTACGCTGCAATAGCGCTCTTCCCAGCATTTGAAATGAGATGCTAAGAATGTGATCAAAATCACACTACATTGCAGTAACACCATCCTTATCAATTGAAATAAGACTATGGTCAATATCACACTATGGCGCAATAGTGTTATTCCCAGCAATTGAAATGACTGTGGTCAATAGCATACTGTGCTGAAATAGTTCTTGAAATAAGAAGATAAGGCTGTTATCAATATCGTACTATTCCGCAACAGCGTTATTCCCAGCAATTGAAATGACTGTGGTCAATAGCATACTGTACTGAAATAGTTCTTGAAATAAGAAGATAAGGCTGTTATCAATATCGTACTATTCCGCAACAGCGTTATTCCCAGCAATTGAAATGACTGTGGTCAATAGCATACTGTACTGAAATAGTTCTTGAAATAAGAAGATAAGGCTGTTATCAATATCGTACTATTCCGCAACAGCGTTATTCCCAGCAATTGAAATGACTGTGGTCAATAGCATACTGTACTGAAATAGTTCTTGAAATAAGAAGATAAGGCTGTTATCAATATCGTACTATTCCGCAACAGCGTTATTCCCAGCAATTGAAATGACTGTGGTCAATAGCATACTGTACTGAAATAGTTCTTGAAATAAGAAGATAAGGCTGTTATCAATATCGTACTATTCCGCAACAGCGTTATTCCCAGCAATTGAAATGACTGTGGTCAATAGCATACTGTACTGAAATAGTTCTTGAAATAAGAAGATAAGGCTGTTATCAATATCGTACTATTCTGCAACAGCGTTATTCCCAGCAATTGAAATAAGCAGGTAAGACTGTATTTGATATTGTATTATTTATTTATTTATTTGCTTTATTTCTATACCGCGTTTTTCAGCCTAATTAGGCGACTCAATGCGGTTTACACAATGCAGGTTATCACAACAATAAACAGTTAAAAACATATCATACACAACAACAAAATCAACAATTATTATCAATTCATGACGCCTCGATAACAGAGCAAAATCCATTCTCATAATCCTTGTGCCATTCCTATGTTCAATTTTACCGTCTTCCTGTGTTCAGTTGCACTGTTTAGCCAAACGCTTGCTCGTAGAGCCAAGTCTTAACCTTCTTCCGAAACGCCAGCAGCGAAGGAGCCTGTCTGATGTCTATAGGTAGGGCATTCCATAGCCGAGGGGCCACCACCGAGAAGGCCCTGTCCCTCGTCCCCGCCAACCGTGCCTGTGACGCAGGCGGGACCGAGAGCAGGGCCTCCCCGGACGATCTTAATGTCCGCGTCGGTTCATAGGTGGAGATGCGTTCGGAAAGGTAAGTGGGGCCGGAACCGTTTAGGGCTTTGTAGGCTAACGCCAGCACCTTGAATTGTGCCCGGTAGCAGATTGGCAGCCAGTGGAGCTGGCTCAACAGAGGAGTGGTATGCTCCCTGAGTGCCGCTCCTGTTAACAACCTGGCTGCTGAGCGCTGGACCATCTGAAGCTTCCGGGCAGTCTTCAAGGGCAGCCCCATGTAGAGCGCGTTGCAGTAATCTATGCGGGATGTAACCAGAGCGTGGACTACCGTGGCCAAATCAGACTTCCCAAGGTACGGGCGCAGCTGGCGCACAAGTTTTAATTGTGCGAATGCTCCTGGGGTTCCAGGCTCAGTGATGAGTTCAGGAGAACTCCCAAGCTGCGAACCTGTGTTTTCAGGGGGAGTGTGACCCCGTCCAACACAGGCTGTAACCCTATCCCCTGTTCGGCCTTGCGACTGACCAGGAGTACCTCTGTCTTGTCTGGATTCAATTTCAATTTGTGCCTGGGCTTTGGGCTTGAGTGCCACCAGTATGCTGACGACACTCAGCTCATTCTGAGGATGGAGGGCCGTCCGGACTCCGTACTCGAAAATTTCCATCAGTGCCTTGAGGCCATTACTGGATGGTTGCGTGCCAGCAGGTTGAGGGTGAACCCAGAGAAGACAGAGATCCTTTGGCTGGGCCATCCGGGTGGGAGGGAGGTCCAACTGCCTACCCTGGATGTCCGTCACTATGACACTATGTCCGTCACCTTCTGTAAGAAGCCTTGGTGTCTTATTGGACCCTCTGCTCACAATGGAGGCCCAGGTCTCTGCTGTAAGCAGATCTGCGTTTTTCCATCTGCGTCAGGCTAGGCAACTGGCTCCCTACCTATCTAGGAACGACCTGGCTACGGTGATCCAGGCGACGGTCATCTCGAGGCTTGACTACTGCAACGCCCTCTACATTGGCCTTCCTTTGTCAGTGATCCGGAAACTGAAGCTGGTGCAAAATGCGGCAGCTCGTCTTCTCGCCGGGGTGCCGGCGAGGTGTCGTATCACCCCAATTCTCCAATAGCTGCAGTGGCTTCCGATTGAGTACCGGATCACTTTCAAGGTGCTGGTACTAACATTTAAGACCTTATATGGTCTGGGGCCGGCGTACCTGAGGGCCCGCTTATCCCCCTACCAACCCCAGAGATTACTTCGGTCTGAAGACCAAAATTTGCTTGAAGTCCCTTCCATCCGGACTAATCATTTGTCATCTACTAGGCAGAGAGCCTTCTCGATTGTGGCCCCTTATTTATGGAATGCCTTGCCAGTTGAAACCCGAACCATCCGAGAGCTACTTGCTTTTCGGAAAGCCTGTAAAACCTTTCTTCTCCGACAAGATTTCAATGAGTGAACAACTCAGGACTATGTCTGTTCTTGTTTTTATTGTATTTTAAAGTTGGTTGTATTGTTTTAATCTAATGCTGTAAACTGCTCCGAGCCAAATTGGGAGTGGCGGTATACAAGTCAAATAAATAAATAAATAATTGATACCATACTGTTCTGCAACAGCGCTATTCCCAGAAATTGAAATAAGCAGATAGGGCTGTAATTGATATCGTATAATTCTGCAACAGTTCTATTCCTAGCAATTGAAATAAGCAGATAGAAGGCTGAGAAGAGCGGTATACAAATGGAGTAAATAAATAAATAAATAAACTGTAATCAATATCATACTATTCTGCAACAGTGCCATTCCCACCAACTGAAAAAAGCAAATAAAGCTGTGATTGATATTGTACAGTTCTGAAATAGCGCTATTCCCACTAACTGCAATAGCAGACTGGGAAGTAATCAATATCGTATAATTCTGCAACAGTTCTATTCCTAGCAATTGAAATAAGCAGATAGGACTGTAATCAATATCATACTATTCTGCAACAGTGCTATTCCCACCAACAGAAAAAAGCAAATAAAGCTGTGATTGATATCATAGTATTCTGAAATAGCGCTATTCCCACCAACTGCAATAAGCAGTTAGGACTGTAATCAATATCGTACTATTCTGCAACAGTGCTATTCCCACCAACTGAAAAAAGCAAATAAAGCTGTGATTGATATTGTACAGTTCTGAAATAGCGCTATTCCCACTAACTGCAATAGCAGACTGGGCTGTAATATCGTATAATTCTGCAACAGTTCTATTCCTAACAATTGAAATAAGCACATAGGACTGTAACCAATATCGTACTATTCTGCAACAGTGCCATTCCCACCAACTGAAAAAAGCAAATAAAGCTGTGATTGATATCGTACTATTCTGAAATAGTGATATTCCCACCAACTGAAATAAGCAGAAAGGATTGTAATTAATATTATACTATTCTGCAACAGAACTATTCCCAGCAATGGAAATAAGCAGATAGGACTATAATCAATATTGTACTATCCACAAATGGGCTATTCCCACCAACTGAAAAAAGCAAACAAGACTGTCATTGATATCGTACTGTTCTGAAACAGCGTTATTCCCAGCAATTGAAATAATCAGATAGGATTGTAATCAATATCGTACTGTTCTGCAACTGCGCTATTCCCACCAACTGAAAAAAGCAAATAAGACTTTAATTGATATCGTACTATTCTGAAACAGCATTATTCCCAGCAATTGAAATAAACAGATAGGATTGTAATCAATATCGTACTATTCTGCAACAGCGTAGTTCCAACCAATGGCAATAAGCAGAGAGGATTTTAATTAATATCTTACTATTCTGCCACAGCGCTATTCCCAGCAATTGAAATAAGCAGATAGGATTGTAATCAATATCGTACTATTCTGTAACAGCGTAATTCCAACCAATGGCAATAAGCAGAGAGGATTTTAATTAATATCCTACTATTCTGCCACAGCGCTATTCCCAGGATTGAAATAAGCAGATAGGATTGTAATCAATATCATACTATTCTGCATCAACATTATTCCCAGCAATTGAAATATGCAGATAGGGCTGTGGTCAATATCACATTACGAAGCATCCAGATTCAAAATAATTATATCATCCATTGAGGAGTCCAGAGGATCCTATGGAGACCTCATTGGAGAATACCGTCATTTCACCAGACACGGCTTTATTCTTCCACTCTTCTGATGCTGAGGGGAGTTGTAGCAACTCTATAGAGTCGTAGATATTAGGCTTGGGTAACCACGGAAAAATTTGGTTCTAAACTCGTTTTGTTTTTAGGGGGCCCTTGCGTTTCGTTTTTTTAAATAATTCCGAGATTTTCCTTTTAAAAATTTCAAAATATACGAAATTTTGTATAATTACGAATCGATTCGTTAATGGCGGACGCAATTGCGCAATATGCTAAAAAAACCCTCCAAATGGGACAGGGGGAACTTCTGAAGCTTCCCTCTCCCTCTGTTGTTGACTGTTGGTGTGATAAAACAAACAACAACTATAAAACTTGCACCAGACATGCGAAAATAATTACGAAATAATTACGAAATAATTACGAAATAAATTGAAAAAAATTGTTTCGAATCTAATTTACTCCTCACACTATTCCTGCATGGCTCAATATTGGATCGTAAGCTAATTTAAATACGAATTAATAACGAATTACGAAATTAACGAACGAAACCGCCCAAGCCTAGTAGATATGAAACAACCTCAAGGCCCATCTAGTCAAGGGTAGGTCTGACAATCCATGAATGGTCATTCATGGAGTAGTTCTGTATGTAGAACTGCTATGTTATGTTGGACCATAAAGTGTGGACATTATCTTAGGTGTGACAACTTGTGATGAGTACCCCCCCCCCTTATCTGAAACAAGGAAAACAGGGCTCCCATTTCCTATATTTCAGTGTGGCGGAAAACGGTAATACAAATGAGAAACCGGACACAAGAGAGAAGGTAGGTAATTGCTAGTCCTGTTCTATACCTCTAAATAGAAGCGCCTTCAGATTTCTCGGGTGTTTCTTAGGTGGAAACCATATTATCAACTGGTTCCGCTGCAATCGGAAGAAGTGGAGCATTTTAACAAGGTCTCTAGGAGGAGTTCACCATTTCGACGGCGGTCAGGGCAACGGAAGTCTTTCGGAAGAGATCCAGGATGGGTTTTTTGGGCATCTTCATGGTGGTACAGCCAAAGCCGCTGAGCCCCCAGCTGGTGAACGGAAGCCTTTCCTGACATTGAATCCACTTGGGGGTTCCCGGTTCCCAGTACAAAATAGTGTTGTAATATTCCTCGTAGTTTTCTCCTTCTATGTTATTATATAAATAGGTGTTTTCTCCACCGAGCACATAGATGCGGTGCTTCCAGCGCACCACGGCTGCTCCCGCCAGCTCGAACGGCAGCCTGGGGATGGGCACGCTTCTGTCCACCTTGCCATCTTTGCCCAGGAAGAAGCACTTCCGGGTGCAATGGATGTTCCCAGAATCGGGCCACCGCTCGCTGTGATGCCGGGACCGGCTCCGGTAATAGCCGCCGATGACGTAGATCCCGTTGCTCATGGCCACGGCACCAGACCAGTAGCATTCGTTCTCCAGGAAGACTTGGACCCACAAGTCTAAGCCAACTTCGTAGATGAGGACCTTCCGGGACGCGAACCAGGAACCGACCGAATTCGTGACCCCGCCGATGAGGTAGAGCTTGTTCTTCAGTACGGCGGAGGCAAAATGGCTGAGGGCGAAAGGCAACCGGGCAATGGGAGACCAGGACCTCGTCTCCAAGTCGAAACACTCGGCCGTGTCGAGGTATTCTTCATATTTACGCCAGCCTCCTATAGCATAGAGCTTCTGGTTGCAGGCCAGGAAACCGTGAGATGCTCGGGCCACGGACATGGCAGGGAGCTGAGTCCAGCGGCCCCGCAGTGGGCTGTATTCGTGGAAGGTATCAGAATACGTGTCATCCGTGTGGACACCTCCGGTGACGTACAACTTGTCGCCCAGGGCCACGCATCGGGCACAGTACAGGCATTTCAGCAAGGGGAGCTTCTCCCACGTCTCCATTTGTGGGTCGTAACAGCCCACTTGGAAATCCTTGGTCTTTAAGTCAGGGCCGTCCATGTTGTAAAGGTCCACGCACACGATGCAGGTGGAGTACATCCCTCGCCTCAATCCCCGGCTTTGCTGGAACCTCTCTTGTCGATTGAGGCGGCGCCACCGCAAGCGGAGCTCCCGGCAGCCGCCCAACTCGACCTGGACCTCCCTCAGCTCCTCCGGGGTCAGGAGCGGGAGGCGGACGGAGGTCATCAGCTGCCCGAGCAAAGGGAAGCGGACGGCGTTCTGGGCCGTCACCCAGCGCCGCACCGCTTGGTAGACGGGCAGCTCGGAAGCGATGGTCAAGCTGTCAGAGGAAAGGATGCTGGTCAAGGTGCTGGGGTTCAAGTTGAGGAAGCTCTTGTCCTCCTGGGAGAGGCGCCGGAAGTGTAGGTTGACCAGGCTCTTGGAGTCTTGGAAGAGATCCGGGTCATTGTGCGCATAACCCAGTTCGTAGAGGCGGAGGCAGTTCTCCGGGGAAAGGTGGTCCAAGAGGAACCTGAGAGGAGATAGACATGGTACGGGTGAAGCTCAACTTGCTTGACCCCAGGTTTAGCTCCATACTCTTCTATCTGAGATATGTGTTCCAACCCCTTGTCAGGGAAGGAATCTATAGTACATTTTAGTGTTTCATCATCATCATCATCATCATCATCATCATCATCATCATCATCATTGTCATCTATATAAATAAAAATGTAATGTTCGTTTCTTTTCCTTCCTTCCCTTCTTTCTCTCCTTCCTTCCTTCCCTCCCTTTCTTTTTCCTTCCTTCCTGTCCCTCCTTCCTTTCCTTCTTTTCCTCCATTCCTTTCTTCCTTCTTTCCCTTTCTTTATTTCCTTCCCCTTCGTTTCCTTCCCTCCCTCCTTCCTTTCCCTCCTTTCTAGCCTTCTTGCTTCATTCTCCTTCCTTCCTTCCTTTCTTCCTTCCTGTCCCTCCTTCTTTCTTTTCCTTTCTTCCCTTCTTTCTCTCCCTTTCTTTTTTCCTCCTTCCTTCCTGTCCCTCCTTCCTTTCCTTCTTTTCCTCCCTTCCTTCCCTCCCTCCCTTTCCTCCTTCTTTCCCTTTCTTTATTTCCTTCCCCTTCATTTCCTTCCCTCCGTCCTTCCTTTCCCTCCTTCCTTCCTCCTTCCTTCCTTCCTTTCTTCCTGTCCCTCCTTCTTTCTTTTCCTTCCTTCCCTTCTTTCTCTCCCTTTCTTTTCCCTCCTTCCTTCCTGTCCCTCCTTCCTTTCCTTCTTTCCTCCCTTCCTTTCCTCCTTCTTTCCCTTTCTTTATTTCCTTCCCCTTCATTTCCTTCCCTCCGTCCTTCCTTTCCCTCCTTCCTTCCTCCTTCCTTCCTTCCTTTCTTCCTGTCCCTCCTTCTTTCTTTTCCTTCCTTCCCTTCTTTCTCTCCCTTTCTTTTCCCTCCTTCCTTCCTGTCCCTCCTTCCTTTCCTTCTTTCCTCCCTTCCTTTCCTCCTTCTTTCCCTTTCTTTATTTCCTTCCCCTTCATTTCCTTCTCTCCATCCTTCCTTTCCCTCCTTCCTCCCTCCTTCCTTCCTTTCTTTCTTTCTTCCTGTCCCTCCTTCTTTCTTTTCCTTCCTTCCCTTCTTTCTCTCCCTTTCTTTTTCCCTCCTTCCTTCCTGTCCCTCCTTCCTTTCCTTTTTTCCTCCCTTCCTTTCCTCCTTCTTTCCCTTTCTTTATTTCCTTCCCCTTCATTTCCTTCTCTTCATCCTTCCTTTCCCTCCTTCCTTCCTCCTTCCTCCCTCCCTCCCTTCCTTCCTCCCTTCCTTTCTTCCTTCCTTTCTTCCTTCCTGTCCCTCCTTCTTTCTTTTCCTTCCTTCCCTTCTTACTCTCCTTCCTTCCTGCCCCTCCTTCCTTTCCTTCCTTCTATGTAAGATATAAATACAATATTAAATGGGAGGGACAAGAGAAGGAGGGAAAGAGGGAAGGAATGAAAGAGGGAAAGGAGGAAGGAAGGAGAGAAGGAGGGAGGGAAAGAAGGAAGGAAAGAAAGGTAGAGAAGCAAGGAAGAGAAGGAAATAAAAAACAATATTAAATGGGACAGTAAAAGTAACGAGAGAAGGAGGGAAGGAGAGGGAAGGAGGAAGGAAGGAGAGAAGGAGGGAGGGAAAGAAGGGAAAGAAAGGTAGAGAAGCAAGGAGGAGAGAAGGAAAAAAGTGAAAGGAAAGAAGGAAGGAAGGGGAAGAAAAAAAAAGAAGGAAGGAGAAGGAGGAAGGAAGAAAAAAGGAAAGGGAAAAAGAAAGGGAATGAGAGAAGGAACAAAAATAGGAAAGGAAGGAAGGAAGGAAAGAAGGAAGGAAGGATGTAACCAAAGAGCAAAGAAAGGAAGGAAAGAAACAGATAGAGATGGAAGAAAGAAGAGAAATAGGGAAAGAAAAAGAGGAAAGGCAGGAAAGAGGGAAGGAAGGAGAGGAAGAGAGAGGGAAGGTTGGCCACAGCAACATGTGGTGGGTACAGTTAGTCTATATAAATAAAATGTAATGTTTGTTTGTGGTATTCACAGAACTCAAAAACCCCTGGATGAATTGACACCAAATTTGGACACAAGACACCTAACAACCCAATGTATGTCCTTCACTCAAAAAAATTGATTTTGTCATTTGGGAGTTGTAGTTGCTGGGATTTATAGTTCACCTACAATCTAAGAGCATTCTGAACCCCACCAAGATTGGAATTGAACCAAACTTGGTACACAGAACTCCCATGACCATCAGAAAATACTGGAAGGGTTTGGTGGACAGTGTCCTCTGGTTTTGGAGTTGTAGTTCACCTACATCCAAAGATGACTGTGGACTCAAACAATGATGGATCTGGACCAAACTACACGAATACTCAACATGCCCAAATGTGAACACTGGTGGAGTTTGGGGAAAATAGAATCTTGACATTTGGGAGTTGTACTTGCTGGGATTTATAGTTCACCTACAATCACAGAGCATTCTGAACCCCATCAATGATAGCATTGGGCCAAACCTCCCACACAGAACCCCCATGTGGGCCACTGCAATGCGTCATATTATTAATAACATTCTATTATTATTATATTAACATTATATCTGATTATAAGATCATTATTGTCACTGTCATTATTATTTACTATATGTGGTTTTATGCAGGCATTGTAATATATATATATATATGTATGTGTGTGTGTGTATATATATATATATAGGCTTTTAAAGTCTCTTCCACTGTGTTTTTCAGTGTTTCTATGAGTGATGGACACTCGTTGGCCTGATAGGTGTATTGTGTCCAAATTTGGTGTCAATTCGTCCAGTGGTTTTTGAGTTGTGTTAATCCCACAAACGAACATTTTTATTTATATAGATTACTAGCCGTCCCCTGCCATGCGTTGCTGTGGCCCAGTCTGTGTATGTGTGTTTTCTGTGTGTATATGTGTGTGTATATATTTGTGTATATGTGTATATGTGTGTTTGCGTATATATGTGTGTGTGTTTGTGTGGGTTTGCACATGCGTTGTAATGTATTTTTTGGTTTTTGGCTTTTTAAGTCTTTTCCGCTGTGTTTTTCAGTGTTTTTATGAATGATGGTCACTCATTGGCCTGAGAGGTGTCTTGTGTCCAAATTTGGTGTCAATTCGTCCAGTGGTTTTCTTTCTCTCCTTCCCTCTTCTTTCCCTCTTTCTTTCTCTTTCTCTCCCTCCTTCTCTCCTTCCTTCCGTCTCTACCCTTCTTTCTTTCTTTCTTCCTTCTTTATCTCCTTCCCTCCTTTTCCCCCTTCTTCTTTCCCTTTCTTTCTCTCTTTCTCTCCCTCCTTCTCTCCTTCCTTCATTCTCTACCCTTCTTTTTTCCTTCCCTCCTTCTTCCCTTCTTCTTTCCCTCTTTATTTCTCTCCTTCTCTACCCTTCTTTCTCTCCTTCCCTCTTCTTTCCCTCTTTCTTTCTCTTTCTCTCCCTCCTTCTCTCCTTCCTTCTCTACCCTTCTTTCTTTCCTTCTTTCTCTCCTTCTCTCTTTCCTTCCTTCTTTCCCCCTTTCTGTGTATGTGTTTTGTGTGTGTATATACATAGATGTGTGTGTATATATATATATGTATGTGTGTGTGTGTGGTTTTGCGCATGCATTGTAATGTATTTGGGGGGAGGTTGCTGCTTGCTTATTTTTGAAGGGAGGAGGGGGACGCCGTTAGCAGCTCGCTTTGACTCTGCCCCGTCCGGGGGGGGGGGAAAAAAAACAAAAA